TAGTATGTAGGATACAAAATAAGTTTCTTCCCCAACTCCAAATTCAAAAGGCCTATTTGCTCTGCAAAAGACTCTAGACCTGGAAGTCTCTCTCATGTAGTGACATGTTTTCCTGTTTTCACAAAACTCTCTCTTCAGATTTTCTGATCTGTTACTTGAAAATAGTTACCATGATTGTTTTCAAAGAAAGCAACCCAAGCTAGTAATACAAAAAAAGTTAAATATGAACCTAACCCTGATCAGTGCTATTAATTGCTACTATTTCTCCCTCAGATTTTGCTATAACTTCTTCATTAATGACACTGTAGATTAGACAGCTAATGCGGATGCTCTAGCATCCACAAACTGTATTGTCTTTTTAACATTTTTGAAGCGTTGTGGGTTTTCAGGGTTTGTTTTTGTTTTGTTTTCTTTTTTTTTTTTTTGTAAGAGGGTATCAGAAATGTTAAGTTGTGTGGTAGTATAGGGTTTCAGCAGTTCATGAACTGCTGAAGGAGGCACCCGAAGAACAAAAAGAAAAAGAAAAAAAAAACACAAATGCAAAACAAACAAACAGAACAACACTGCTCAGTATGAAGCAACAATATAAGGACCAGCTTAAAAGTGTGTGCAGTTCTGCAAAGAAGCAGGTTATATTTTCCACATCTTCAGACATCCTAGGTATTATAAACAAAAGTATATGCTCAGTAGAAGACTCATGAAAGAATAAAGAGGATCTTGAGTAGCTGGCAACTATTCTAGTCTCTGCAATAGCTGCCTTCCAGGAGCTATCACATAGAAAGGAGAGTGAGCTGGATCCATGAAGCTTTACCATAAAGACCTAGATCCTTTTTTTGGCAGCTTTGGATATGAAATACCTGTCACTAGAGAAAGTGTAAGCTTAAGCAGCATGAAGTTTAACAGAAAGACTGTTACAACAGTCTTACATTAATTGCCCTCATTATGGTACTGGAACATGGGACCAGAATCAAACCACCCTTGAAACCCTTGAAACTAACACCACGCTTCTCCTGTGGAATTATTCCCAGATCTTACTGCTTGGTACTAAAGTAATTTTAAACAGACCTATATTTTTTACACATAGAAGTACCCATAGGACTGCTTTATCTATTTATGTGCTTTACTGTAGTAAAAAAGTGAGCCATGGAGCCACAGAATCCGGGAGTCTTAACAAAAAACTTGAAACAAACCTGGTCCAAAACCTGGCCTGAAGGATAAACCCAAATTTACAATCCTTTAATTTGAAAACCTGAAATGAATTAGCAAAATGAAAACTGCTTAACTGTTCTTAAAATTTAATCTCTTTGAAAGAGCAAAAAAACTTCTCTAAGAAAATATTTAAGTCATTTAATAAAAAATCAGTAAACTTCATTAAAAACCTCACGTATTTTAATACAAAAAAACAAAAAACCTCCCCAAAATACTCAGTTCTAATCCAGTCTGTAGATGGCCTGTAAAATTTTAAATGCAATACCATAAGTTATATAAAATGGCTAGGAACACAGCTTTTTTTTTTTTTTTTTTTTTTGGAAACTAGGCAAATTAATCACAGCTACCAAACTTGTGAAGCCTGTTAAAGCACCCATCAAATCAGAACACTCTATAGCTCTCAGCTTCAATCCATTTGCTTAGCAATTCATCTTAATGCTTCATCTAAATAGATCAAACATTAATGATAAATCCCAGAAGCAAACTGATCACTGTAACTCTTCCAGCAATCACTAACTGGAATATAGAATCCAGCAGTCCACTAATATTAAAGTTATACAAGTAATATCTTGTCAAATACTTTTTTTCCCCAAATAGAACTCTTCTTCAAAACATAAGAAATTAAAAAAAAAAAAAAAATCCTGAGTACAGATTATCCTAAACCAGAAACAAATCCTACCCACCTGACAAGACGAATAGATGGAACACACAGATACTAGAAAGATAGCATTGCTTTACTCTATTACTTCTAACCTTTTATTTCTAGACAGACTTGCTTTATTTCGAGGTTGAAAATACTCACATGCATGGAACAGAAACAAAAGCAGAAAATCCACTAGCATATTGTAAAAATCAAGTAGCCACTGAGACGAGAAAGAAGCTTGCGAAGACTTAGCAAGACTGTCAGGAGCAATCAACAAATAAAGGCTTTACTTAGAAACATTAAAGGCTGAATCCTTAAATATCTGAGAAATCAGAGCCCAGAAAAAAGAACTATTATCAGAAGAGAACCTGTCTGTACTCTTTGCTATTTTTAAACCTTCTACATCTCAAGATTCCAGAAAATTTTACTTTCATCTCAACGGTGTGATGGTGTGTTTTGCATGGTGGAAGTAAAAAATAGAATCTTGAAAGCAGTTACAAACCTTCTTAACCAGGTTAAGGCAGCAAAGCTGACTGCCATACATCCCACTTTTGGCAGTTATACTAACACAGTTGAGCTTAAGCAACATTGTCAGAAGAATTTGAGTGGACAGTAGTATGCAATATCTACCTAAGGGACAAAACTACCAACAGAGCAGGCTATTCTTAGGAAGCACGCAAGCCAAGTTAATCATCCTAAAAGAGCAGGCCTGCAAGTTTTCTTAACCTTTAATTCCGTAGGAGACCTGGAAAGGACAGCACTTACTAACATTAAGCAACTATATAAGCCACTACATAAGCCACTTAATTCAAAGGAAAGATTTCTATGCAAAATGCCCTGGCTGTTGGGGGGGGGGGAGAACAAAAACCCAACAGAGTCATAGGAAGGCAAACATGTTCCTTTCCAGTGCTCTGAAAGGAAGTTTAAATTCTCAGGAAAGTAATCGTAACAATAACGGATATGCAGGAGGAATGGGATTCTCTTCTCTCTTGCTCCAAAGGTGCTAGAAATTATCAACTTACCCTGCAGGACAAGTCAACATCCTTGTATGACCTGCATATGCTAACTTCAGCATCTTCAAGGGCATGCTGTTCATCAGTCCCTTCACCACTACATGAAGAGGTATACAGCAACATTTCAAATGTGCCATTAGAAGGAAAAAGAGTAGGAGATTAACTCACTGCAACTCTCAATTACACTTCTCAGCATATTCACGTTTCAGCTTTGTTTTGCTTAAAAAGGATTGTACTTTAAAGTAAAGCAATTCCTCCTGTACAGATGAAAGGGGAGGCGTTGCTGCCAATTTAACTACACTATGGTAGGACAGGATCTTCAGGCAATTAGATGTTCCAGAAAGATAACTTGTTTATTTCTTCCCTCCTTGGTTGATGGATCAGAACTGTTCTGAAAAATGGTCCTAGGACATGTATTCAAGCATTGTATTGTTTCAACTTTGGAAACAGAAAGACAGGAAAAAGTTATTTTACCAGTCTAAGGAATATCCATATTTAATTACTCCCATATTCAGTTATGCAAAATGGAATAATAAATATTTGACGAGGAAACTACCTATTCAATATTTGTGTTTAGACATGGTTGCTAAGATAATATTATAAATTTTTATTACGAAAAAAAGTCTTCATCTTTCCACACAATTACTAATCTTTTATATTGTGGTTATCTTTATCAGGAAACAAATTAATTTGTAGAAGTTCAAGAAGTTAACTGTCCCTTATTAGGAGATTCCATCATCACTTAGATGCTTCCTGAATCTTTACGAAGACTCTCAGGAACTAAAGAGCCCTTGCATTTTCTTTCCCAGTCATTCCATAATTTCTGCATAGACAAACCATTCCCTGGATGAATGTCACAGGACATCAAAACAATTAAAGAAGTTCTTCTCTTTCACAAGGATCTCAGGAAAAGATTCAGTCTTCAGCAACTTGTGGGAATAATCCCCATAGCCTCTCTCTTACTGAGCTTGCCAAGAATATCTAGAAAAGGACTCATTTGTAAAGAAGAGAGACGAGATTTTTTTCAGTCTCTCACTTAGAAAATGAAGAGAAATATGAATTTGTTCTGATGCTTCTTCTTGAAATATAGAACCTTGATTAATTTAGAGAAAGATATAAGAAGCAAAAGTGTGGCTTTTTTTTTAAAGAAAATATCACAAAGGAAGTTGAGTATCTACAATAGAAATGGTTAAAACAATTCTCTTAATCTTCATTTCCAGATGGTGGGGCAAGGGGGGGCAGAAAGGACTGCTTTGCTTTCTCCAGCATTGTTTAGAAGACACTGCATAAGCCATAAGAAGAAAAAAAACCTCACCTACTGTACTTCAAAAAAAAAAAAGAAAGCAGATGAGCCACTGCAGTCACAGCCAAACAAAGGAGGGTTCCTCTCTTTGTCAAACAAAGCAGTGCTAGCAACAATCTAATCAATTTTCTTTTTGTGGAACAGATACTGAAATCTGAACCGGAAAGATGAAAAACTGCCTTAGTATGACTGAAGCAGAAAAATGTTGACTGTTAAGTTTACGTGTATTTTAAGGTTTTTTGTCGGTTTTCGGGTTGGTTTTTTTTTTGTTTTGTTTTGTTTTTTTAATATCACCCAATCTGTTGGGGGATAAAAGCTTATAAATATATGTATTACTGAGACTTTATCTGAATTAGTATTTGTATACAAACACCACATACACAATGGCAAACCAAGTAACCAAGTATTGTACTTTTTCTTTTCCTGAAATAAAACTTTTCAGACTCTCATAAAATGTTTGTTCCACTTGTATGATTACTATGGATCTTACTTACAGTCTTACCTACAAATCTGCAACATCAAAACCTCAACTTTCATTAAAAATACTATTATTGGCTGTTTTACTCTGAAATGAAGCTTGAAAAGATCATCCATGTTATATAAAAGCTTAAAAAAAACCCAAACAAACAAACAAACCCAAACAAGGTTCAAGTTTGGTTTCCCCCTCAACAGTGCCACTTGATTTTGTGCCCTGATTTTTGACTAATGACAGTACTGCAAACCAAGCAATAATCTCCATTTCCCTGTAAACCTTTAACATATGATTGTTTTCATTTTAATTATATTCAACTCAAAGTAGTTATTAACAAAGATTTTTTTAAAAAATGAATACCTCAGTCTGACCTTCATGGGCACTGGATTCATGAGTGACACGAATAGCCTAAAATTAAAACATATTTCAATCAGACTTTAAATGAGAGACTTTCAGTGTTTTAAGAATCACTGTATGCTCTTCATTTCATCAAATGCCATAGGTATAACTATTTTTGTTCAGTGCTTGTAATAAATAGATTAAAAAATTAATAAGCAAATAATCTCTACTTCCAAGGATCCCAGAAGACCAGTATTTCAGTTTCATCACAGTCAATTCGAATCAAATACCTAACAGTTTGTCATGGCACTTTTACACAAGAAAACACTGTAGGCAAGTGTTTTTGTTATATATCATTCTTGAGCAGACAAAGTACTTTAGATAGAAGCTCTGATGAGACGTCTTGTGACCAACATTTCTACAGAAAAGGTCACTGAACCTCTACTGTTTCTGTTTGTTACTACTTCCCTCAGCCACATATTAACACCCTTATTCCTGAGGGCTTCACAATAAGCTTAAATTGAACTCAGACTTGGAAATCATCGAGATTTTCATTTTGAGAGAGGATCATCATTACCATCAGGAGCAACAGCACCGTTCTCCCCTTCCACCACTGGCCAGATGTTTCTGCCGCATCCTTTCAAATAGCACTAATGATCTGGCTAACCACACTATCAGATGGCTCATCTAATTGTTTGGAGTGGTGGGTGAAAGAGATTATATTTCAGCCAAATCAGCTCTCTGTGTGCCCCAAACTGCTAGAGCCAAAGACTAGAAGGCACAAATGAAAGGAGGCAGCAGAAGGACCATCCTTTCAGCAATAGCCCCAGATCAACTTAAATTGACCATTAAACTGCAACCTGAACCCACCAGAAAGATTATTTCTCATCCATTTCAAAGTCATTTTAAACTAAGCCAATGAATTAAAATGGATGAGGAACATTGACAAAATCCATTCTGCTGACTGAGCTATGGGCAGACAGGAATACTTTAAACTACCAAAGCAGGGTTTTCTTTGTAGCAACTGTCTGATCACAAGCTCACATATGAAATCGAATTGTTTAAGTGCTTCACTGGATCAAGTCTTAAGGACAGTACCTGCTCATGCAAGTAATTCTTATACCATTTTAAATAAAAGTGAAAACACATGATACTAACTTCATAAGTTTCTAGATATTTGGCCCTCTCTTCAGGAGTCATAGATAATGAATCTTCTAGGAACTTTTTCAGCGAAGAATTAGTTTCTTAAAAAAATAAAGAAGACATAATTAGAGTCATACTTTAACTCCAACTTCATTCAAAGCTTACAGAATGCTGATATCCAACAAAAGATTTAAAGATATAATTACATTGTATCTTTAAGACACTGAAGGCTGACTGCAAGAGGAATTGTTACCTGCTGCAGTTTGCAATGTTTTGAATGCTTTAGTTCATGGATTAGTATGAAATACTGGTTTTACAGTTATAGGTAGAAATGCTCTTTGAAGAGAGATCGCCCTTTATGAATGGTTATATTCAGAGAAAATAGTACAACACGTATCCTTCCCTGCATGCCTCCCCACAGTTAAGGGAAAAAAAGGGAAAAGCCGACAAAAAACCCCTGCCCACCCACCCAAAAAACTTACCGAAGTTCATTTTATCTCTGTTGTTTGCAATAGCATGAATTAGCCCAATTGTTCCACAAGCATTGTTAATGGTCTGCTTCATGAAATACACTGATGATTTGACATCTTGCCCCTTAGCTTTTATTCTCTCTTCTTCTTCTGTCCTGAAGGTTTCATACTAGAAGGAAAGTTACAGACATTTCACAAATAGTACAAATAGATACTGGCTACATTATTCAAGCAAAAATAGTTTTAAAAAAGCAACAGCTAAGTAATAGAAACCAAAACTCAACTTGTAATTTGAAACGCTTAACATATGTTGGTCTGACAAGTATATGTAAACTTACTCAACTGAACAGCTCTATATTGTTTCTTAAACCAATGCCTTGTCACTAGCCAAAACCAGTCACACTTGAAACAACATTTATGAAATATGCGTTACCTAACATAATTTCAAAACATTCAAAATATTTCATTGATCTGAGCACCTGTCACCGTCTCTCTTCAATCCAACAAGAAGCTTTTAAAGGACAGAGGTCTCAAAGCACTATCAAGCAAACCGTAATACCTCAGGTGTTTAATCAGCATTCTTACAAGTTCCATTTTTACATTTCCTTTTTTCCAGGAATATAAAATAAGATTTATATAATGCTCACAGCCTCAAAACAGGCCCTTCAAAAGCTGTATTAATAAAATGAATGTTTATTTTCTGTAATAAAAGAAATAATTTAGTTTGATTGAACAATCTAAAGTACTTGTTTTGTAAAGATCATAATTGACTAACATCTGTTGTACTGTGCAACAGTGTGTTGGTTCTGTGGGGGTTTTCTTGGTTGTGGTTTGCTGGTTCTTTTGGGGGGTGTGGTTTTTTGGGTTTTGTTTGGTGGGGTTTTTTTGGTGTTTTGTGGTTTTTTTTTTTTTAATTTTGAGATTTTCATGTCAAACAGAAAAAATATGAAAGAAAACTGCAAGTGTTCCAGACAACGCTGTTCTTTCTTTCTCCTTTGCCTCTTTTACTAGGTACTTTTGCAGACAAAAAAAAAAAATTGAAGTAGACGGGCTTTTTAGACAAGTATGACAAAAGTAAAGTTTGAATACAGAATGTTATCAAGGAACTCTTCCTGAAAACCCACAAGAAGTTTTTCTCAGACTCTATGTACCGTCAGTGACAAACAGAAACAAGAAATTTTTCCAGCATCATGATTTCACACCTGCAGCTTGTCTGAATGTTCTGAATGGTCTAAGTAATAGCAAGAGCATTTACAAAGCATTTTAATTTATCTACAAGTTAACAAAAATAGCCTCAACTGAGAAAAAATTTCATAAAGCATAATCAGACAAAAGTTCAGATTAGAGAAGGTAAACAATATAGCTGCCATTCACTCCCTGCCAACCAAAATAAACTCCATGGCAAAAATAAACATATACATGTTGAGAATACTGAAAATACGATTTTGAGCAAGGGTTAGACCAGATCACCTCAAGAGGTCCCTCCTAACCCGAGCTATCCCATGATATGTATTCATTGGACCATGCCCAAAATGCCCAATGCTCATAGTTTTCATTCTGTCTAGAACCTACAATGCAGACTAAGAGAGTCATTGACCTTTAAATTGGACAATAACCCTAAGATTATCTAACAAGAGTATCTTGCCCCCCCATCCTTTACTGGATGCGGGTGGAAACATAGAGACAAAGGATGAGGAAAAGGCTGAGGTACTTAATGCCTTCTTTGCCTCAGTCTTTAATAGTAAGACCAGTGGTTGTCTGGGTACTCAGCCCCCTGAGCTGGAAGACAGGGACGGGGAGCAGAATGAAGCCCCTGTAATCCAAGGGGAAATGGTTAGCAACCTGCTACACCGCTTAGACATGCACAAGTCTATGGGGCCGGATGGGATCCACCCAAGGGTATTGAGGGAGCTGGTAGAAGTGCTCACCAAGCCACTTTCAATTATTTTCAGCAGTCCTGGCTAACTGGGGAGGTCCCAGTTGGCTGGAGGTTAGCAAATGTGACATCCATCTAAAAGAAGGGCCCGAATGAGGATCCAGGGAACTACAGGTCTGTCAGTCTGCCCTCGGTGCCCCGGAAGGTTATGGAGCAGATCAGCTTGAGTGCCATCACACAGCACATACAGGACAACCAGGTGATCAGGCCCAGTCAGCATGGACTTATGAAAGGCAGGTCCTGCTTGACTAACCTGATCTCCTTCTATGATAAGGTGACCTGCTTAGTGGATGAGGGAAAGGCTGTGGATGTTGTTTACCTGGACGTTAGTTAAGCCTTTGACACAGTTTCCCCAGAGCATTCTCCTGGAAAAACTGGCTGCTCA